GAGAGAGAGGAGGAGGAGAGAGATAGCGGAGAGAGAGAGAGGAGACGAGAGAGACGCAGACGCAGAGACGAGAGAGAGAGAGCAACGGGAGAGCGAGAATGAGAGATGAGACGAGGATGAGACGAGACGAGAGAGCATAGAGAGAGATGAGAGATGAGAGCAGAGATGGATGGCTGTGTGAGATCGGACGATGGCACGGACGATGAGAGGTGGAGGCAGGTGAGCGCAGAGAAGGAGAGTTGGCATGAGATGTTGATGGGAGAGATGAGTGTTGAGGGGTGGGAGGACGGGAGGAGAGGGGCGGGGCGGAGCGTGGGAGAGGTAGCTACCGAGGATGGCGAGCTGGTCGTGAGAGAGTGGATCGGGTGCGGATGGTGTGATTCCGGACGAGCCGGGGGGGGGACGTGCAGGGGGAGAGGACTATGCACGGGAGCGGAGTAGGGGATTGATGTGAGGAGTCGGAGTGGGAGTGTGGATGAGAGAGGTCTCCCACGTGCTTGTACTCTCTCTCACCTCTCCCCCTTCTCTCTCTTTCTCTCTCTCTCTCTCTCTCTCTCTCTCTCTCTCAGCTGTTGCCCGGAGCACACAAGCGTTTAGCGGGTGATATTTGTTGCGTTTAACTTTGGTCGCGTGCGCCAGGCTTTAGCAGATTAATTGAGTGGGAGTGTATAGCGTCAGAGGTAAAAAAATCAATTTCCACTAATGAGGCTGCCAGATCCAGCACCTAGTACCTGCCAGTTGAATCTGCACGACTTGTGAGCTGAATGATGTCTCCTCATCAACGCTTAATTTATAATGTATGAGATTGTGTGTGAAACACCCGCGTGTAGTGTCCTGGTTGTTCCATATTGGCAGAATTACACATGTGCGAAGCGTTCCTATTCTCACGTTAGCTCGGCGTTAGCTCCTCATCTCTCACACTCATCAGGGGCGGATTCAGACCGTATTTGCCGTATTGGGAAATACGGTCTAGATTTCAAAGTGCCCTTCGAAATTTTGCGCTAAAAAATACAGAAAACAATTTGATGGAATTTGGCTATATTCTTTATTTGTTTTCTTTTTCTTCTGATTCATTGACAGAACTTGAAGGAAATCAAAATTTTACATGGTAACAAAACTAGCTTTGATATCTGAAAAAGAAGGGAAGTGCTTGAATCATTCTGCATTTATTGCTGGTATGCAAAGCGCAGGCAAAATGCAGAAATAAAATTCCATATGGTTTTTAGCTATTGCTGCTTGACTAAATGTGTGCTCAAATGGTGCTAATTTTTGTGCCCAGGGACCCTTGAAATTTTGAAATTGTGGGGTGGTGTGCGCTTTATGAAAGGATGTGCCCTTAAAATCTGGAAAAATACTGTCTAGCTTCAGCCCTGGATCCGCCCCTGCTCATCACCAGGGTGCTACGCGCGAACTGGCCATTTATATATATATATATATTTAATTATATATATATATTTATATATATAATTATATATATATTCACGATCATTTGGATAGACATTCGTAATTTTTGTTCGCTTGGCTTGACCCGCGATTATAATTTCCCTTCTAGAACTAAAGTTAGCGTGAAAATGCCTATTCGAATTCTTCCCCGTGAATTTCGTTTAGCGCGTTTTATTTGCGGCAAGTAATTGAGAATCGAAACGTTTCATTACCAAATATTTACTGTAAACTCTGATTTGTCCTATCAAGGTCCTCTTATTATCACACACACCAATTTACTGGAAACTGTGATTTGACCCCTCCCCTTCTACCCAGCCTTCAAGATCCTCTTATTATCACCTCACAAAAACATTTGACATTCATACAGCTACTCGGAGAGTGACCACAACTGCTTGGACTTCGTCGTCGGATTTCTACGCCACGCTGAAGCGACCGTGCGCGTCTCGGCTCCGCTCTGCAAGGAGCAACTCTGCGCCGAGTTGATTCTGCCCAGGATGACCCAAGCCGCCAAGTACGTCACGCTGTACAGACGAGTGAGTGCAGAGACTGCGTACGTCAGCGCCTCCTAGCACCTTCACTACGTCACGCTGTACAGACGAGTGCAGAGACTGCGTACGTCAGCGCCTCCTAGCACCTTCACTACGTCACGCTGTACAGACGAGTGAGTGCAGAGACTGCGTACGTCAGCGCCTCCTAGCACCTTCACTACGTCATGCTGTACAGACGAGTGAGTGCAGAGACCGCGTACGTCAGTGCCTCATAGTGTCTTCACTACGTACGTCACGCTGGCGGGACTTCTTTTCCAGCGGTTATTGCGTAACCCTACGCGCGAGGTGACGATTGCAAGCTAACATCGTGAAAATGATCTAGGACATCGCGTCTGTCTCTAGTACTCTCTACTAAATAATATAACTGCATGCACCGCAGTGGATGTCTGTGTGATGCTTAGTGCATTGCACACTGTGCAAGGGCTGTCCACGTGAAGCTTAGAATATAATATTACACACTGTCTCACTTGTCTATTTCAAGGTGAGAGCACACACATAGTGTGCAGGAACAGTCCACGTCGTTATGATACATTGCATAGAGTACAGGGCTGTCCACGTGAAGCTTAGTGCATTACGCACTGTACAGGGGCTGTCCACAGCAAACTAATACTACATAACACCGTGTAGCAGGGGCTGTCCACTACCGAGTTTAGACAGCGACTACTGCAGAAGCAGCAGCTGCATTAGCAGTAGCAGTAGTAATGGCATCAGTATTAATGTAACATTGTACGTTTGCGCCACAGGATAGTAACTGAAATATTGTCCCAGGGCGGTACGTGAGGTCGAAACATGGATTAGACGTGTTTGAAAGCATAACACTGTGCATAAGTTATATTGTTGTTGTTGTTGTTGTTGTTGTTGTTGTTGTTGTTGTTGTTGTTGTTGTTGTTGATGATGATGATGATCATGATAATGATAATGATAATGATGATGTTACTGTAGTTATTATTATTATTAACAGGACTTTAGCGTGACCACACTCCCACATTACATCACACTTATATGAAACAACACTTGCATGCCGACTAACATCTACGCAATACTATGAACAGTAAACCGAAAGACCACAAGCGTAGTATTTTATTCATTTATTATGCCAAATCTACATATTTTACATTTCTATATCATACAATGACAATATCCACATCGCGCCTCGCGCCTCAGCTATAACGTCAGCAAAAAATCGAGCTTCTCACTCCTACCTGTCACATTCACGGTTTATCAGCAGCTTTTAAAAGTCAGACCAGCAAAAAAGTACAACCTGTAGCTGTGTTGCTACTGTGTAGCAACTGCCGTACCTCAAATGCTCGCGGGGATTTCGTTGCGTTCCTAGTACTCAATTCTATTTGCAGATCATTCGTTTAAAATCTATTTCATTAATACTAAAATCGCCTCGAAATTTGTTTTGTGATAGAAAATTGCTCTACTCTTCCCTAACCGACGGTGATGCGAGAACATTCTAGCGCTTTTGCGTTAGTAAGACTCTTCTTATCTGTACAAGCCAAAAAATATTTACGTCAATGGAAGTAACAACTTTGAATCATCGGCGTTCCTTCAAATGGAACTTTGGGCGGGCAAGTAGTTCATACAAATTATCACGTCCAGTTTCCAGCCGCGGGCGAGAATGGCGCAGCACATTCTAAACGCCGGCAGCAACTATAACACCAGAGCTCTAGTGACGTTTGCTTGTCGCTTATCCTGCAGGACAAACCGGTAGTAGTTACACGCACGCACGCGCAGCTATTACATAGCGGGCGACTGGGGCGGGCTCGGGCGAGGTCGGGCATCTCACCTCCCTAGAGCACGTACCCTGGACCACTGCCTCCGCGCATGCGCGCACCTACTCTATTCCCAGACAGCACAGACCAGCGACTCTGCAATCGTGTACGACAGCCAGCGGCCAGCGGCCCGCCTCAAGTGCAGCAGAGAGTGGAAGCGTGCAGCAGCTCATAAGTGCCTTACGCGTACATTGCGGGTGTAGCCACCAGCGGCCAGTCGATCTTCTGCGAACCACACCGCGGCGAAACCTCCTCCTCCTCGCACAGGGAAATCAAATCCCCCTGCCGTATTACGGTCGAACGACGCGAGAAAAGACAGTGAATTTTACCTCGCGAGTCGGGGCATACTACCTACTCCTAAGTCGCGAGAATCTATTTACAGTGCGCCGCGCGTCGGCTCCGAAAAAAAATACGCCCCGTAGCGGTAAAATTCACGGCCTTTTGCGCTGCGGCAGGCATCTAAACAACGACGCCAGAAGAAAACGCCTTCACGCCGCGAAATCACGCAGTGGCGCCACCTACTGGAAGAGCTTCTCGACAACAGATTAAAAAATATTCAGCGACCTCGCGCGCCACGTTTCGTGACATCACAATGGCACACGACATGCGGTGGCTGAGAAAGATCACCAACAGCCAAGGCAGCACTGAGTTGCTGCTGCATTCAGTACATCGTGAGATCGTGAAGTTGACACACTGCCTCCTCCCCATGAGAAAAAAATAGCTATCCGGATGAGGATCACCGTTGTGGGGTGGGCGCGCAGGCAGAGAGCGTGGGGGGGCGGACTCAGCAGATAGAGATGGTATTACTGACTAACCCCCTCCCCCATCCCTCACACCCCCAGCCACCTGCATCGCCAGCATCACCAGGGGACAGCGCGCGTGGGGGAGAGCAGACTCACTCACTCGGCACGGCGGAAGCAAGCGAGAACTTCGTGCGTAGCAGGTGAGAGCGCATCGGGGTGATCTCACCGATGACCTTGAAGTGAACGACCATGAAGACTAAACTGGTATGAGTTACATCGCACGGAGACGCGCAGCTTTCACCAGTACGCCGGGTACTGGGGGCGGAGCTCTCGAGCCGCGATGGCGGATCTGATGGAGCATCTCACCTGCCGCTAGCAGCACGTACTCCTGGAACACTGCTCGCGCGATGCGGCCGCACGTCTACTCTATTCCCAGACGCGGCACAGACCTCAAGGGACTGATCTCCCGAGTCGATGCGCAATCGCGTAAGACACGTGGCCCCAGGGCCGCGGACCCGCTGGCAAGTGCAGGCAGAAGAGTGCAAGCGTGCGGCTAGCTCATTACACGGTGATTGGGAGACGCTGACGAAGAGCCGCCGAGCCATTTTCTCCCGGCTGCCCCCCCCACCTCCCACCCAACGGGCTCCGTCGCGTTACCTGTTAATTAACCGTGATTTCCCCGTCGTTGTTGGTACCTCGTGCACATCGGGGTGTAGGCACGAGCGACCACCTCTCGAGTTCTTGTCTATACGCGACCCACCACCACGGGAACCTGTGCGTTATCCGTAGTATCTCCCTCATCACAAATGCGCCCTGTCGGCTGTTGGTTTCAGGCTGTTGTCTTTTGGCCTCCTCCCACCTAACAGGCCCCATCGCATTAACTGTTAACCGTGATTTACTTCCCTGTCATCAGGCTAACGGGCGAGGAGAACCCTCCTCCTTCGTCAGACCTCGAGGTGTTTCGAGAAGCTTCGAATGTGCTGCTGCCTCGTATTAGGGTCGAGGCCACGATCACGCGCCCAGACACAGTAACGGTGACTCTCTTCCACCCTTCCAGAACTCGGCATACTAGCTCAGTTTACTCCATCGGTCGCCGTTATCGCTAATCGAGAACTCGCCTTATTTACAGGTTGCGGCGCTCGCGCGTCCGTTGCTGTTGTTTCAGGGCCTGTTTGTCACAACACAACTCAGGCGCCCTCCGCTATACGGAACACATTCACGGCCTATGTCTTGCACGCTCTGCCAAGTTGAGCGAACGCGGCATCGTCATCGTCTAAATACAGACAAGCTCACAATCGCTAGAGAGTGACACCACCGTTGCTTTCGAAAGTTCGTTCTCAGAGGCTGGAGTTGAACGGCCATCGACGGCGGCTGACGTGGGAGGCGACGCCGCGCAGCATCCACGAGGGCGTGCAGTCGGCGATCATGAACAGCGACTGCCTCGTGTTCGACACAAGCATCGCGCACCGAAGGTTTGAGGACGACTGTTTGCCGACAACGGCGACACCTCGGCATCACGGATCATCGCCGACAGTAAGTGCGCTCATCAGCGCACGTACTGGAAGAGGTGTTGACTCCGAACTTATATCCTCTGTGAACATATCAGACACGGGCCTCGCAGCGCATGCCACGTTTTCGGACACATCACAATGGACTCGCTGCGGTGGCCTGATGAAATGATCCGACAAACAGCTCAAGGCAAAGCATCTAGTTGGCTGCTGCATTCAGTAGCTGTTCAGACTCGTGAAGTTGAAACACTGGCTCCTCCCCTGAGAATAAAAACTGAGCTATCGGATGAGATCAGCGTTTGGGGGTGGGGGCGCGCAGGCAGAGGCGTGGGGGGGGGCGGACTCAGGCACCATAGAGATCGGTATAATTACCCGGAACGCGTCAGAAAGGCCTTCCCGGCGATGCGGTTGGTGGGGTGTAGGAGGGATGGGGAGGGGCGTTTAGTTCCAGTGTTACGCGAATTCTCTATGTGC